TCGCCGGGGCCAGCTCGGGCTTGCTGGCGCCGGTTCTGGCTCGCCGGAGCCGGCTCAAGCTCGGCAGGGCCGGCACGGGCTCGCTGGGTCCGGCTCGGGTTCGCCGGGGCCGGCTCGGGCTCGCTGGCGCCGGTTCTGGCTCGCCGGAGCCGGCTCAAGCTCGGCAGGGCCGGCTCGGGCTCACCAAGGCCGGCTCGGGCTCGCTGGGTCGTCCGGCTCAGGTTCACCGGGGCCGGCTCAGGCTCACCAGAACCAGCTTGGGCTCGCTTGCTGGGGCCGGCTCAGGCTCCGGCTCACCGGAGCCGGCTCGGGCTCACTGGGGCCGGCTCGAGCTCCCTCGCCGGGGCCAGCTTGGGCTCGCCAGGGCCGCTCCGGGCTCGCTGGGCATGATTAAGGCTCGGGCTTGGGCTCGCGCGGGTGCCACTAAACTCGCACGGGGCCCGTCGAGCTCGCACGGAGCCGGGCTGGCTCACACGAGGCCGGGCTCGCAAGGGGCCGACTGGGCTCACACGGGGCAGGCCTCACACGAGCCTGCCCGGGCTCATACACGGCTGAGCTTGCACGGGACCGGGCTCACACGCAGCTTAGCTTGCACGAAGCCCGTTGGTGGCTCGGCTCGCACGGGGCCGGCTGGACTCGCATGGAACCACGCTCGCACGGGACCCACTTGGCCCGCAGGGGGCCCGCTGAGCTCGCACGGGGCTGAGCTCGAAGGAACGGGGCTGGGCTCACACGGGGCCGGCTAAGCTCGCACGGAGCCGGCGGGGCCGGGCTCGCTCGGGTCCGGGCTCGCGCGGGGACAGGCTCGCACGGGGCCCGCCTCAACTGGCACGGGGCTGGGCTCACACGGGGCTGGGCTCACACGGGGCCGGCCCGGGCTCGCACGGAGCCGGCGACGCCAGCTGGGCTCGCACGGGGCGGGGCGCGTCATCTTATGGCCCAGGCTCACACAAGGCCGGGCTCGCACGGAGCTGGGCTCGCACGGGGCCGGGCCCGCAAGGGGCCGCGCTCGCGAAGCCGGGCCCAGGCTCGGGCCCGCGTGACTGCGTTGTCCTGACAAGCACGCAAGGCCGGCGGGGCCGAATCGGGGTCGCGGCTGAAGCGGCAGCGGCGAGCTCTCTCGGGTTCGTGGCTTGGCTTGCTACTCTGGCGGGCTGGGCCAGGTATGGGCCCGCTTCACTGTACACGCGTCGAGGCTGGCTCTCACATCTTAAAAAAATGCAACAACGACGAAGAGCAGCGCTCACTCTACTTACCCTCGCTCGCGTTCGGCGTTGCAACTCTTTGACCCTTTCATGCTGCTTGAGTGTTTTCCTTCTCTCTTTCTCGTTTTTCCGGAAGCTAAAAAAATCCTGCTGCAGTAAGGAGGAACTTCCTAGCCCAGTATATTTGCCACGTGGGGCCCAGAGGAGCAGCCTCCCTAGTAATAACTGCGACCAGTCGCCGTCATACCTGATTTTCCAAAGCCCAAGCATCTGCCAAAGGCCCGAATATTTTCCCATTCTCAAACTTTTGCCAGCGGCCCAAATATTTTCCAAAGCCCAAACTTTATTTACCAAAAGCCCAAGCTTTTCCCAAAGGCCCAAACTTCTACCAGAGCCCGAACTTT